CTTCTGTTTACAAATTCTTGACCTGACAGTCTCCACCCTCCGGCTTCAACATGCACTCGGCTGCCATTTGAGCGCCGTTCGAGGGATCCAAAAAGCAGGCACAGACCTCGAATCCCCACCCAGCTCTGAGGACGGGGTCCAGACACCTCCTGAGGCAACCTCTTCAGGGGTCCGATGGCATTTCCCTTGGAAGGATCAAACTCTGCGCCTCAGCGCTGGAAAGACCAACGGGAAGATGTAGGCCCCAAAGAACATCCCCTTGGCAACAATTGATTGAACGGCAAACCGCGCGGCTGTGCCAAGCGGCTGTTTTGCCTTTTCCTGGAACAGGGTGTTGGTGTGCTTGCCGACCTTAGCAAGGCGACACACTCCGCTCAAATGGCGCCCACCTGTAGGCAATAGAAACATGCGGGCGCCAATCTGTGCGGAAAACCATGGTGAGACGTTTCGTCTAGCGTTGTGACAGTGCAAATGTTGGCCAAAAGAAGCCTGCCAAACCAGCCAGAGATTATTAAGCGATTCTCCGGCCCTTCCTTTTTATTTGAAAGGCGATCCCATGCATCCTTTTGTCTTTCGCTTTGACGTGGCCAAAAGCACGACGCCGATCAAAAAGGGAGTCTCCGAGCCAACGTCAGACAGTCTTGACTAGCTTTCCCCACCCTCTGGTTTCAGAAAGGATTGTGGATCCCGGACGCTTTGGGATGGTTAATGTTCCCGTATGGCTGAAACCCTTTTCGCGCCTCAAGGGTCTGTCAAAAGCAAACCCAACAAGAATCTGAACACGCGCCAACGCCCCGAAGCCTCTAGTGGTTTCGACCTGCGGGAATGCCAAGGTGTGACTCATTTCAGAACTGGCCAATCCCAACACATGGAGGTGGAACCGACCAATGCACTTCCTCGCTGGTGAAGCATATGGTCAATTGAGCTGATCCCTTATTCGTGGCTGCCTCTTTTCCGGTTTCTGAATTACTTCCCTGCAGATTAAAACGGAGCCCAAAAAGGGCCGTTCATTCACAAATTATGTATATATTCCGGCTTGCGAAAAATAGTACACTCCCTACAAGTTGACATGGAACCGTCGTACCAAAAAACGATCAACCTCAAAAGCACCAGCTGGATTGCAACAAATCTTGAAATCGCGACTTCCGAGGAACCTAAACGAAGGTCTGACACGGCAACACTCCGCCATTCGGCCCAGAGCCATTTGTGTTTTTGCGCAAGGGAACCCCTTGGACCATACCGAACATTTACGGAGAAATGGGTGTCTTCTTTTGAGGTCCCCGTTTTTTCATGGTTTCAGGGGGACACCAAAAGGGACACCACACAAAATGGTGGGTCCCCCAAAAAAAGACAGACCCAAATCATTCCCGTTGTCTGGCTACTGAGTTGCTGCCAGGAATTGCGAAACAGCTGCAAATCCAGGTGCGCTTTGCTCAGCCCTGCAATATCACCAACCATACCTTGTGGCCCCTGCCCAAGACACATACCATTCATAGCAAGAACAGCCCTTTTTGCCCAAGAAGGCTTCTCTGGTGAACTCATAATTTTGTCGTTTTGTTGAGGGTCCCTTTTTGGTTAGTCTAAAAGGGACACCAAGAGGAAACCGTTGCCAGTTTAGGAGAAAAAATCACACCCAAATGAAGCAATCAAACCAAAGAACGGGGGGCTCACCTCCGTAGCTGAGTGAGGCACGACCTTCTCACCCGAGGGGAAGTAGTGATAAGGCCTCCGGATAGCAAGGCAAAGGTCCCGAGAGAGTAAGCCATGTCATTCGGGGAAGCCTTCCTTACTGACCGCTTACAAGCGGAACTTGCCAACATGTTCAGCCCAGATCCGGGACAGTTGTGCCCTGCCAGCATTTTTTGTTTAGAGTCTTTTAACGGAAATTGGAAACTGGTACCGACCAAGGTAGATCCAGTGGACAAATTTGCCATCAGCAATGGCAAGCTTGCAGATCAAGAGGGGGACATAGCAGGAGAGCCAAGGAGAACAAGCAGGACCAAAAGTGGCACGCGATCAACGGGTACTCTACGTGCAAGCACAGCTACAGGATGCTGCAGGTGATTCGAAAACGGCAAAGTCAGGGCGAACACAGCAAACAAATAATTCCAAAGGAGAAAAGATGAAGTCGCATGTGCTTGGACCTTCCTTACGACTCCTTCCTTTCAATTCTCCCCCATCTCTCCCCAGCAAGGAGGAGCTCGCAATGGAAGGTTCTGCCAAGGCTTTGAAGCGGTTTCCATGTGTGTTCAATTTCCCCTTCTGTCAGCACTCATGCCTCCCCAATCCCCCTTTCTGAAGATACCCGCTGCGCTTGTTGGCTGGGTGTGGAGGCGAAAACCCCCGCTTATCGCGGTGTTGAGGCCGGAACTTTGGTGCGTAGACGTAGAATCCATCACTAAGAAACTATCCATTCTGCAGGATTCACCGTATTCTGGTCGTGTGCGTGACAAATTGGACACCACCGTGTCTGTCCGAAACCCAGCCGCCTGCTTCACCTAAGGGGCACGCTTGTTCGGAATCGGCCAATTTGCAACTTGGAATGGCAAAGAGTCAAACAAATCTATGATCTAATGATCTAGGGTAAAAGACGCCGCTTTGATCAGACACTTGTAAGATCACCATCTCGGGAAATCGCATCGTGCACCCAACAACTCCACCATGCACTTGCCCCTGACAAACTAACTGTTCATGATTTCTCCAGCTACAACTAAACCCATGGATGGGCTTGGAAGGCTACTTCTTAGTCAAGACAGACCTTCTGCAAGCCACCCCTTCCCATACCGAACCAAACGAGGGAAGCTGCCTCGGCTCCATCTCGTTTCCCTCGAAGTGCTCCGACTCCTGCCAGGTCTGTTCCAAACAAGCTTCCTACCACTCGTCACAGAATCCAAAACAACCAAAGGTCCAAAAAAAGACCATGCCAAGCCTCTTCGCACCTCAGGCCAATCTGCCTTGCATGGCTCCTTATTCACTGGATCCTCATATTGAGTTTGCGTTCCAAACAAAGGGCACAAACACATGGCATCATCTTCTATCTGGGTGTCCCTTAGCCTGCAGGGATCAAAGCCAATCAATCATCCAAGCCAACTAGGATGCATCGATGCAACAGGAGGCGCTTGATCCATCTTGAACGAGTTGGGAGCAACTTACCTTTGGTCAAACAAGGCATGAGGTGATTGTCCTTCTATTGTCGGTACCCTTTTGGGTTTCAAGAAGCTAAATAAAGGGAAGCCAGAGGCTTTTGGCTTTCCCAAGACTGGCTCTCACGGAGCCGGAGTTCGGGACATGGGCTGAACAAGTGCAAGCTGCAAGCGGACGTGCCGCAAGCTCGTCTCAGACCAGCCGTTTGTCCAAAGCAATTAGACAGCTCTCAGTTTCGGAAGACCTGGCATAGCATAACCCAGAAGATCCCAGAACTGAACAGCTTTCCTTGCGGCAATCAATCAATACATTGTCAGCCCTGACGAGGTGACTCACCACGTATCGCCCCAAACAAGCCTCGTAGTGCAAGTCGTAATGGCCGTTCACATCACCTGCGCGGGGACTCATCTCAACTTCCCTCTAATTGGTGGTTAAAGCGTGGTTTCCCATCTATTCTCTACAAGAACCAGGGACCCGTTCAAATCCAAATCCAAACCACCAATCCCAACCAGCAACTAGGGGTTACCAAGAAACAATCACCAACCCAACCAACCCACCAAACATAATGCCAAGGTCAGCCCAATCCCAACCAAGGGGTTTCCTGATCAGCACTTCAAACATCGGCAGCTCTTCGACGGGAAGGGATCTTGGAGGCCTGCGATTCTTATCTCTTATCACCATCCGTGTAGGTCCCAACTGGCCGGTCCAATCTGCCTGGAGTGCAATTAACACAACGACGAAAAAAATAAGCGATAGCTGCTGATGTAGATTAACGATTGCGATAATATTATTACAATCATCATCTGCAGCACGTCAAGGGGCTTGGTCATGTTGGCCAAATATAAGAACATGTCACCTCTGACCAGGCAGGATGTTCACAGACATTTCCCGTGTTGTCTCCCGCAAACAGCATTTTTCATGTCCAAACCGTTTACATGCGCGGGGATTTGACCTGCTCACCATTCTGCGAGCAAAACAACTGCACAGGGCAGAAGCAGTCAGAGGCAAACCAAAATCCAAGCGCAACGCCAAACCACATCTGCCTATGCCACCCCCTCTCGATCATTGGTAGTGACGGCAATAACCCTTTTGCCAAGCCGCAGTGCTGCACGTAGTCAGAGGCGTCGTCATAGCTGCCGTAAAACCTCCGTCCGGAAACGTGTTGGCGAAATGCTGTGCAAAGGGCGTTGACAACATTGACGGTTCTTGGCCGAGCAATGCCTTGAGGTGCCACAACACCAGCGCCTCAACGGGTCTCCGGGTTTGGCTATCCAAATAGACATGTACGGTTCAAATCCGAAGGAAGCAAATCCACCACAAGATCGCAATCCACAAATCAGTTGATCACGACATCGACATCGAAGCCCTACATGTGTGAAGGAAACTCTTCTAGGACCATCTGTCTTTGGGCTTAGAGGGCAAAGGTCAACTACCCTCCCAACTAAACTGGAATCTCAGGGACGTCTCCTGAAAGATGAGGTTCCTCTACAAGGGGGTCCCGTGTGAGAGTCCATGTTGCGAAAGGGTGACCAGTTGATTCCTCAACGGAACGCAGGTGAACTGCCGCAACATGGGTGACACACGCCGAGCATGCGGATCTCAGATGGTCGTTCAAATTGGTAGCAGCAGAAGCAATGTGCAACGTGCAACAGGCAACACGCAACATAGAGTGCAAAGCGCATGATTCCACAGAACGCCCGACAAATACCAAACAACACGCACCAAGCTTAATGCCATCGACGCCAAGCAACTCCCGGCATATAATATACGAGAACCATGACACCACACATACAGTAACAAAACAGAACACGCACACACAATTCACAGACATCACATTCACACAAATCACCTGACTCACAGAACATTCAAAGAACAAATCACAAAGAATTCACAGAATTCGCCAATCACCGCCTCGAGAAGCCCCGGCCGGTAGGTGTCATCTGCCAGGACCTGCTGCTAAAGAAAATGGCCATGGCGTGTTTTGAGGACTTTTGACGTGTTTGCCTTTTGGCGTCCCATACCAAGCTGAAAAGGGGTACCCTCAGAACCAACAAACCCATACATTGTGAACCTTCAGATGCAATGCTGCCAAAGGTGGTGATGCTGTCAGGGGGCAACATGTTTGCAACAAAAATGCATCAACACCACACATACTCACACGGAATTGCGTGCAGATCAACGGGCGTATGCATTTGCCTAGAAATATATGTTCAGCGTACGTGTGTATGTATATATATAAAGATTCATTCTGGCTTGCCTTTTTCCGCGCTGCAAGACCAGATTTGTCTGATAAAAACTTGAAAAGCTAGATATGCAAACTAACCCTGCCCAACCAAGGGAGTTTCAAGACCCCGGGGTCTTCCTGGCCAAGCCCAGGTAAGCCCCAGCCCCAGCCTTGACAATAGACTTTCCCCCTTTCTGACTGGCCAAGCCCAGTAACCAAAAGGGGGTTAAGTCTTCCCTTCCACACATTGCCCCTACTTTACCCATTTTTCCGGACAATTCGACGACTTGGTCGGTCGGCCGGATTTTGAGAAGTGTGAACGTACGCCCACACTGGGAAATTGCGGGAAGCCAAAAGAAGGCAATTGATTCGGGTCAACGTGCGCCGAAGTTTGCGACTGCTAGTGCGCCCTCGGGCAAGTGAATGCATGCAAACCAAACTGTCGGTGAGGTGAATAAACTTTCCCCGCGAAACCCTTTGTTTTTCAACCCACCAACGGACACTAGTTAAAATGGCCCGCAGTTCAAGACAGTTTATATGCTCAGCATCTCCGGTCCAAGCCCAGCTCGCCACTGTCTTCCACCTCCAACACTGTGCTGGAATACTGGCACGTAGGCGATGGAACTTCAGCTGTTCTTCAGCGGAAGAGTGAACTAAAATGTCCTCGCCCTTGAGACTGACGTGGTTCATAAATTTCTTTGCCAGGGATAGTTCTGAACTGCTGGATCCACGTTTGCGAGAAAAGAATAAAGGAGGTCGTTGCAAGAAGTTCATAAAGCTGGAACCTGATCCGGGCTTCGTTGCCTCCACAGCTTGTGCTGGGCTCATCTGCTCAGACAATCCCAGGATGGACCCCAAACAGCTCAACAGAAATGTAATAACCGTTACATTCCAGGAATTACCAATTAAGGTCAATCGCACGTCGTTCTTGTGCACCTCCGTGAATCCGGATTTGGGGAGACAACCTTCGGTATAGTTTACAGGAAAACCCATGATTGCCTCCCGCTCGCGAATGTTAGGAAGACGACGACTCCCAATCCTATCCATTAAACAATGGCAGTCCCTATACTGATAGGGTGGAAAACGATAGGAGTCCTCTTCCCATCTATACCGCTCTGAGGAACTACACTTGTCTAATCCTGCAGGTCTATGCCCAGGAAATGCCCGAGGCCGTGATGTGGTGAAAGTTGGCAACCTGTCAGATCCTCCCAAAAACCATCCTGACTCCAAATAGAGACTGGCCTCCAAATCAGAAGAAAGATCCACTTGAACAGGGTTCGCAGCAGTGAAGGTGACATCCGCCATAGGAGGAATTTCCCAATCAAACCAATAAAGGCGAGGACGGTGCGCCCCTTTGCAGCGTCGATCTTGATGGGCTCCAATCCAACGGAACTTGACATAATCAATTGATCCACGTTGTCCATAGAAGCCACTGACTCCATGAGCAGTTTAACTTGGCACCAGGGGAACGCATGTTTGACAAGTTCAAGGATTCGGGGAACGTGGGTAAACAAACAGGACCGCTCATCCTTGAGAGCACCCCTCCTATCGGCGTTTAGCCCACTGACCCCTTGGCAAGGAGGCCCTGCACCAACGATAACTACACTTGCCTGGGAAAACTGAGTGGCCCAGCCTTTTACTACATTGTCATCAACAGTGGTCACATCCTCCCAAACCAGGGAGGAAGGAAACCGGGCTTCAACCACCCGCCTGGCCTCCGCGTTCTTCTCGACCGCGATGTGTCCCAGAATAGGCAGCTTCGCAGCCTCTGCAGCGACCCGCAAGGCACCGATCCCGTCAAACAACTCGATGGTTAACACACCACAAAAATGAACTGGTTCAGGAAGATCACCACGCTGGGGCATCCGGGAGGCCATCAAACCCCAGAGACTAACACCCTTACTCATGGTGATGCCTCCCCCCGTTGATGATGCATCACTGGCTGTGACAGTGCCATGAATCTCCGATCGGAACTCATTTGGGCCAAAGGGATAAGCGCAATAAACCGGAGGATTTCCATTTTGACCATCGCCGGGAGGGGTAGTGAGCAACCTGCGACCCTCCCCTCAAATGATTTGATAAAAGCCCAAATATGGTTCAGCCCGGAAAGGAGGGGCCGGCGGAACATAGTGATGTACACAAAACCCCCTCCCACAACCTGGCTTGTCGTTGAGTACTAAAACCAGTTCCGGCAAGCTGCAACCCCAGGTTAATATATTTTAAAATTTTGTCAACCTTGGGATAGGCAATCCCCTTGCTTCCATCAAGAACAGCACCCTGAACCTCGGCAACATGCACACCTTTCTTGGGGTGCCTGGGGATCTTCCACCTGGAATACTCTTCTTGAAGGGCAAGAACTGTGGGAGTGAGCTCTCCCTTCAAAGTGGCCGCCAAACTGTTGACCTTTGTGAGTTCATCAAAGTTGTCCAGGTAAATACGAAACATGCTGCCCACAGCAGGGAAAGGTCTGTCACGTCTCAACTCCTGTTCACCCCCCGAAAACCTTCCTGAGTTCAGTAGGGCTTGTCGAAGTACGAAGCGATGTACATGTTGTGCGATGCTCACAGAGTTCTTGAATCCCATAGGGAGGACAACAGCAGCTAAATAGCAAGTGCCCGAAAAGCCCCGACAGAGCGACTTCGGCAACGGTCGATTGAAGGCCATAAAACGATGCCACGACAGGGGTACCCTGAAGAGATAAAAGAAGCATCTGACGTCCTCACTGGAAACCAGGAGATCCTCATCAATGTCCAGGGAAAGCGGCCCCATAGAACTCCAGGAGGGCAGCGTGGCGATGTCACCAGTGATCCCCCTACAAATGCGATTAAGGGGGATCAAGTTCATAATCAAACGGTGCACCTCGACGCTGCCCTCCCACTCACATTTGGATACCCCAAAAAGTCCATTCAATAAAGGCTGTCCTTGCACGTGAAAAACCTCGCTCTCCTCGATCACCTTGCAAATACCCCGTTCAATCAGTTTGGAAGCCAACAGATCCCAATCGTCAGGGGGCACCATCACCTTCGGTGCTTTGGTAAAAACTTGGTCTTCAACAGGAAGAAGGTACTCCTCGAAGTTCTCAACATAGTGCCTACACCCTGCATCACAAACCTGGGAGAGGGTGACCGTCCCCACTTCCAAAGGTAAAGCAGGGCCTACCATCTCCCAAGAAATAGACCGAGCGACCTTCACCTCTTCTCCTTGATAGTCGACTCCTTTGACCCTGAAAAATCAGACCAGCCCAACTGCTCAGCGCACTCTTTCCAACCACCCGCGGCTGATGCCTGCTCCAGGAGACCCCCCACAAGCCGCTGTTGGCAGGGGGTCCCCAAACCTTCTGCGCCAGAGACAGGGGACCCATTCAAATGGTTGAGTGACCACACCATGTTCCTGAGAATCATGAGGTCAATGATGATGGGAAAAGCTCTCTAAGGGAGTCAATAGCTGTAGGCAATGGAAAAACCATGCCCGTGGACTTGGTCAAGCAGCACTCATTCAAAGAAGATAACAGCGGTTCTCCCAACAGATAAGCTCCCTCACCAAAAGAAAGTCCCCCCATCCCCAACGCCGCCCTCCTAAGACCCTTCGCCACAGGTCGGCCTGCAGGCGTCACTTTCACGCTGGTAGGAGCACAATTGGCTCCCTTCATGCATGGCAGTGTACTAATTCCATCTTGCTGGCTCTCGGGTTCCACGGTCATCTCATCCTCGGGAGGCGCACCATCCTCCGTTGACCAAAGCATCATCACCTAAGGCACTCCTCAGCTGCTCACCACTCCTCACTTCTTCTCTCCTCCTTTGCTACCCTTCTCGTCCTTCCCCTTCTTTCCTTTTCCTTTGTCTCCTCGTCCTTTCCCACGCTCTTTCCACCCAGCTTGGGGGAGGGACCCGGGGCACCTCCCTTGCCTCCAGGCTGCCAGCCTCCATCGCACCGAGCCTCCTTGACTGCAATTGCCGTCTCTGCCCTCGTCGCCACCTGCGCCACCTCGAGAGGACAAAGCTCCATCTTCTGGGCTGTCATCCAGGGCAAACCCTGGGCGATCTGCTCGAGGCTCTTCATCCGCTGCATTAGCAAATCCAGCGCTTCGGCGGCCCTCCCCTGAACCAGGAGGTCGGAGGCTACCGCCAAAGTAAACGCCTCCCTTGACATAGCCCCGTGGAGCTTGTGCTGGAGCACTCCCCAGCCCAGCTCCTTGCTGTGCCCCCAGAGCTGCCCCGACGCTGCCACCAACGATCTCCTCATCTCCAAGATTGCTGTAGCGGCCAGCACTCCGGGGCCTCTCACTCCCACCTTGCGGATTCGCTGGGCCTCCTCGAACACCCCTTCTTCTTCGTCCTCGCTGCTCTCCTCCCCTGAAGAGTCCTTGTCCGAGGACTCGAGCTGCTTCTGGAGGGCCTTCAAACTTCGCTTCACCTTCTTCACCACCGCCCGTCTCATCTTCGGATCGGGGTCCATACCTGTCTTTGCGAAAAGCACCCCTGGGTCCTTTGTAGTTTCCACCTTGAACTTCTTCTTTCCTTTCTTCTTCTTCTTCTTCCTCCGGCTCTCCGAACTGCTGGTCACCGATGAAGGGCTCTTTTCTCTCTTTCTGACTTTGCCCTCCTTGACCACGCCCTCTACTGCTCCTCCTTTTCTGTTCAGCTCCTCCTCCTTGACCCTTAGAGCCGGCATCTCGTCGATCGCCTCGAACCCCACCAGGTTGTCGACCCAAGGCTCCTCGATCCCGGGGATGCGCAACTTCATCTTCAGGACGTGCACCAACCCGTCCTTGCACAAAGCCGCCTGGCACTCCGGCCCACAGAGGTGTAACCGGCAACGGCAATTCGGGTTCCCAGACGCCCACTTCAGCAGGTCCTCGCATTGGGCCCCGGTCAAGCGAACCTCTGCTACTGTCCCGAAGCCGTCCTCCTTGATCTTCTCTATCACTCCGCATGCCGAAGCAGGAGCCTCCCAATAGACTCCCTCAGTGACCACCACGCTTCGCCCAGGCCTCAGCAGATGCTTTGGGAGGTTTGCCACACTCAAGACCTCCCCCCTTTGAAACCCAAGCTCTTCGCTGGATGCCGGTCTCCTCAGCACCGGAGGTACCTCCCCTCCCCTTGCAATTGCCGGCCTCCTCAACGGGAGGGCTCCTCTCGCCTTAGCTCTCGCTTTTGCCTTGGCCGCTGCTTTCGCTGCAGCGGCTCTGATCCCAAAACTTGGGAGGCATCAAGAATGCCGACCTCCCGTACCTTTTCCTCCTCCTTTGCCTTTTCCACCAGGGTACCGCTCTCTATACCACCTTTGCTGCTCCCTCTTTTTCCTGCCCTTGTTCTTTCCTCTGCGCTCCTCACCTCGGCTGTTGGGGTGGAGCAGCAAATCCCTATTGAACCCTCCGGGATTCCTCCTGATTGGAGACCTACTCCTGCTTCTCCTATCCACCTCCGACAACTCCTCACCTGAGCTCTCTTCTCCTTCAGCACGAACCTCACCACCAGTCTCTCCTCTTTCCACTGCACCCTCACTAGGCCTCCTAATCCCCTCCTCTGGCACAAGATCTCTCTCTCTCTCCTCTGCAGCCTCAGCTCCCGACGAAATGGGAGAGGTGGGCGTCCTCTCCCTTCTCCTCACAAAACCCGCACGATCCTCCTCCTTCTCAGCTCCTTCTCCTCGAACTCCGGAAGAGCCACCCACCTGCAGCCAGGGAGGGTTCTCCCCTCTTTCCTGTGGTTCCTTTCCTCCCAAACAAGCCTTCTCCTCCGGCAGCTCTTCAGCCGCGCTCCTCGATGACCTTGACCGCTTCCTCCTCTCTTCTTTCTCCTTCTTCTCCTCCCTTTTTCTCCTCTTCTTCTCCTCCTTCTTTTCCCTCCTTTCTACCTCCTCTCTCTTGCCAGCCTCTTCTCTTTCTTGGGAGGGGGGGGGACCTGCCAAATCCCCCCCCTTTTCAGGAGCTCCTGCTCCTCCTGGACCCGGCGGCGGGCCCACCTCCCTTCCCTCCCTCACAGGGAGGCCCCGAGGGAGCAGCCTGAGCCGAAGCCCACTGCTCCCTATCCCGAAGGTCAAGTAACTCCCCTTGAAGGAGTCTGACCTTTTCAAGGGCCCGGAACCAAAAAGAAATCGAACCGGACCCCAAACAAAGATCTTTAACCCTAGCTAGGCTAATACACAAGTCACAGGGGCACACGCCTACGGAGGCGTGACCCACTATGCTCATGAAGCCGAAATCTCGCGGACATGCAAACCGAATTCATCTTTAAACACCGGGACGTTATGTCATATATATATATATATATGTATGTATGTATGTATGTATGTATGTATGTATGTATGTATGTATGTATGTATGTGCGTGTGTAGCAGTGCCTCCGAAGAATATCATTTGCGCCTGAATTTCTGCATGGGCTTAAATAGTGCTAGGAACTTTTATCGTCAAGTCGGGAGTTATCAAAGTCAAGACCAAATCCCTTATTGTTTCTGGGATACTGCTCGTTTTTGCAATGCCGAGCTTGATGCTGTTGCCTACCTCTTTCTGTAGCAAGTGTGGGCAACCGTAGCAGAAGGCAAGGATCTGCATATGTGGACGGTAGAACCAATCAAAGGGACCCCCCCAAACAGGAATAAACTTGCAACACGGTGCGTTGGCATATGCAAACCATACTATGATCTTGGTCATCCTGGAAGAAAGGTGCCAAGACCGGTGTCAGCAGGCATTTGTTAAAGGAGCTCGTCCCAAAGAGTGCGCCGAGGTCTCCGCGTAGAGGTCAACTTCATGTTGGCGTAATTATCGTCCGAGGCAAGCGACAAGAGACCAAGGTCAACATTCAAGGGAAGGTGGCGCAAAAAAAGTCCAAACTTTATTTTTACCACTAAAACGGTCTTCCCAAAAAGTTTAAAGTTCATGAACTCAGGAAGTGAGGAAGAGAGCCATCCAAAGCACTTCGCTGACTCAGCGAGACCCCAAAACATCATCTCAGGGTACCCCTTTTGGAAGTCCAAGGGATGCCGCAGTTCGACGACCCCCGACGTGCAAGCCTGCTAGCCATTGGTTAACTTCTACTGCCTCGAAGAAACCCTCGTGCTTCTCATTGTTTGCAAGCATGAACGCCAGGCATGTGACTGTGACATGAAAGGAATCTCTAGTCTTTTAGTCCGGACTGTCAGAGTCATTGTAAGTTCCTACTATACACAGCAGCCATCTATATACGCACAACCTGACGAATAATGAATACAGGCAAGGGAGTTCCCTCATAAGCGTGTATAGATATATATATATATATATACATACATATATATATATATATATGTATATATATATATATATATTGTGAACCCCAAGTTTGTTGGTTGATGCGCGTTATGGTATCATTGTTGGCAACCAAACAAAAAGGGATCCAAAGTGGCCATGGGTTCAGATATGTATTATTCACGTGTGTATATATGTATATATATATATATATATACACACATTAGAACGTCTTTGATCAGCCGTTCAGGGTCTGAGACCCTGCCAACATTATGCTGTTCCCAAGCGGACGGGCAACTTGGAGTCCCCTGGTGGTTGTAAACGATGACAGTGTCCCTGTCCCCTCAAACATACCCATAGACTACTGGATTTGTTGACTGAACTTCATACATTCTGTGGCTAAATGGAAACCCCCACTAAACCCAACAAACACAAAAAGCTAAGGGGATGGCTGGGAACCACCAAGATGAATCACCAACATGATAATGTCCGAACTAGGATCCTGAGTTTCGGATCGATGGCCGGATCAAACACCGGCAACGAACTGAGCGTCAAACACACCGCCAGCTTGCCACTTCCTCATGCAGCTTGATCGTGCTGAGGGATCGCATGACTCAAACTCGTTCATATTGGGTGGTGCAATAATACCACTGGGTCGACGCCTAAACAGGCTCGTTTTCAGTAAGGTGCAGGGCTCGGAATGCAAACGCCAACCCTGTCGTGGTTTGTACACCTGTTTCCCTCACAACAGAAGCAGTCAATGCGATTCACCCATTCCACATCGCTAGCCATGCTGAATGGGCACCCGTAAACAACTTGTCAGCTGGGTTGGGTACCACATCAGGACATGACAACAGTTGCTGTCGACTCGATGGTTCATTGAAGAAATCTGAGAGGTTCTGAAATCAGGGAGTTGATTTCAATGGGGCGCCCTGTGGACATTTTAGGTTACAGAGCCTTGCGGTGTTACCCTGTCTGAGCTCACGGCCAACGGACTGATTGAATTTCGCTCGCTTGGCTGAAGGATTGCATGCAAGGTACATGCGCGCGGCCTACTCTGAGATGCACCGCAAGCTTATCAACCGAAAGGCGCTTTTGAAGTGGATTGTTCAATTGGGGAGGAGTTTTCAAATTATCAATTCTAGGCATAGGTATCATTGTCAAATTGCCACCGCGTATTATTGCGCGCGCAAGAGTAATTGCAAAGACCATGTTATTGCCGTCCGAATGCGCTACGCGTAAGGATTGGGGTGAGGATGAGGAAAAGGATGTGCGCGATGAGGCGGCTGCTGATAATGGTGAAATGTAATGTTGCGATGAAGATGACGACGAGGAAAAGGATGAGGATGAGGAAGATGCCCACGACGTCAATGCTGCCAGTGCCGATGGGCGGTCATTGGTGGGGCTTTGACCATGGGCCGAGGCTTAGCTCCAGGGTCCGCTTGAAAGCGTCTTTTTGAGTTGTTACCCTTAAACTGGTTGGTGTTAAAGGGAAACCGTTGCGCCATTTTGGGGATCCAAACCTCAAGCAAGACACACCCATATTCCAAGGAGAGTCCTTGGCCTAGTGGCAGAGGTGACAAAGGTTTGATTCTACCCAAGCAGAAGCTTTGGCGCATCTGCATTACGCGGCCAAGCATCGGCGTTTGGCGTGCTCTTTTTCGGCGATTTCGGGATGAATGGTGTTCATAACCAGAAACTTTCGTTCCGCTGGAATCCTGATGGAACTACCTGAGCGATTCATAAACTACACACACACACACACACCCAAAGCCAACTCTTCCGAGGTGCTTGGCGCCTGTCTGTTTTGCCGTTGCCAACCCGGGAAGTTTCAGGAGGGGGTAAATTTTGGGGGTATGTGTCGCTGCCGTCGAACTTCCTGCCCTGACTGAACTAGACACGCGCCAACCAAAACACAAATCCATGTGTTTGTCTCTAAACCGGAATCCGAACCTTTCAAAATTGGTTTGCCTCTTTTGGTTTGCCTTTTAGAAGGTTTGCCCAACGTTTTGGTTTGCCTTCAAACATTTTCGCAATCTCCGGTCGCCCTCTCGGCCGACCGCTCACTCCCGCTTACTCCCAGCCCCTCTCGCTCGGCTGCCGGGCCCCACAGCGTAGCTCCTGGGTTTTACAGGCTCGTGAGGGAAGTGCGGATTGGCCCAAAGAAGAAGATATGCTTTTCCCAAGTTGCCCAGTTAATTTCCCAGCCCCCCAAAAAAAAGAGAGAGCATATTTTGACATGTTTTTCCCAAGTTGCCCAGTTAATTACCCAGAAGTAAAGACCACATTTTGGAACACAACCAACAGTTAGACATGGGGCAAAACAAAAGGACCGATTTACTTGCTCTTCCAAGCCTGTGGACACCGTGAAACTGAACATGAGCTCACACGTGGATGGAATTTGAGCCTC